ACCAGAAAAATTCTGCTGGCACATGTGTATAATACGTACTATCTATTATATAGAGGAAAAAAGAATGCATAACTGTGCAATCATATCTGAAATTATCAAGCAGAGAAATTTAAAGAGAGGCAAAAATGTAAAGAATTAATCCCAAATTTGTAATGTAATTGTAATAAGAAATTACAATTTCAGCGGATGTAGTTACCGTCAATAAATATATACCAAGTCAGCCTTGTAAAATGTACTTGTCCAACAAATACATGACAGAAAAATATATGAGATCAGCTGTACAATAGGGCACATTGTCTAACGAAAATTTCACAGCTATGCAAAATAACATGTTACAATTAATGCAGGAAAAAGTCAAACATAAAAGGCAAATCTATGTAAAATGTGGAGATGATGCTTTTTGTATTCCCAATCTTACTTCCAGTTGTAGTTGGAGGTCAATGAAGATGGTGTTTACTCTGAACAGGGTAAGAGCTTGTAGTACCCATTGAATCAGAGCTGACAGGGTTCAAGAACCTTTCTCAATGAAGTGGCAAGGAGCAAAATGCCTAGTACTCCTGACAGGAATTTAACTGTGGCTGTCCAGAACATAATGTCTTGAGATATCACGTTCTCCAGAATTAATTACTTAAATTAACTTTATTGTGGGTTATGTTATGGTTTGTTTGCATACAACTGGTTAAAAATAGTAGATATGATATCATTCCAGACTTGTTTATTGAAAAATATGAAAATGTATATACTCTTAGGTAAATCTGTTTAATCTTAGTTTGGTTGAATATCACACCAGGATTGCATCTACAATCTCATAGATTTAATTGAAAACTTACATTTCAAAAGTAACTTGAATCTATATTGTAATTTTCACAAGTGCAGTCTAATCAGAATACAATTCTTTGATTCGATTTCATTGACAAAAATCATCATAGCCAATTCTGTAGGAGTAGGTTATTAGTAAATATATACAGTTTTCAAGTTTTTGAACACTCCATAAGTAATTAAGAGGTATTAGTCCAGAAGTAAGATAAAATTTTCCTCCTCTTCCTCTATATCAGTCCCTTCTTCTTCCTCATTATCCTCTTTCTCCTCACCACATTTCCCTTTGTCACCATCCTTGAAGTGACCATACATCTTTCCAAGTTTCTTTATGTCTTTCTCACTGAGTCCCTCTCGTTGACCAATCTCAGTTCCATTTTGCTGCAGAAAACAAACAATAACCTCAGATGGCAGACTTCATAATTTTAATACTATATAATCTTGTAGGTAGACACTGACATCTCAGAAGAATTTGCTGCTTACATTTTACCTTGAAGATGGACATAGCATATTCCTTTGAAATCTCAGTGGAGTGCGGTCCACTGGGTTGTGAAACTATGCAGTCTTGCAGACAGATACTCACATTTTGGAGAAACATGCTATGTGCAACAAAACATCAGTATCCACCTATGATGCTATACAATGTTATAACCCCAGAAACCACAAACTGAAGAATCACCACCATGGAAAGGAAACCTCATCATTAAATAGTATGATAATTTTTAAAAGGAAATTTATAATCACAGTATCATTTGCCATATATTAAACTACTAAATGTCATATAGCATACAAAATAAAATTCAGGCCTAAGCATGCACACATGCATGTGCACACCCACGCACGTGTATATATGTGTGTGTTTGTATGTACACGTGCCTTTGTGTATGTGCACATTCCATGCATGCATGAGAGAGAGAAAGAGCAAGAGTGCATTTTGATTTTGATTCAATTCCTCAGTTTAAAATAGTCCTCTCATTCAGTGTTTAATACAGTTGCAGGAGCTAAGCACAGTGGGATCAAGGTTGTTGAATATCATGGGATGGCATTTTCTGCCCTGCATGTACCTCTTCTACTACCTGGAATGTCTGGGAAAGGATTCAGTTGACAAAGAAGGCTGAGATCACCCATGGATATTCTAGAATTTTCCATAGGAATAAGTAGAAAGCTAGTGAGTGAATGAGAGGGCTGTCATATTTTCAGTTCTCAGTTCAGTTCACTGCAGTGCAGGAACACTCGATCAGCATTCAGTGCAATGCAGTCAGTGAAAAGAAGGGAGTGAGCACAGTACTATGATCAATGGTCTTTCTGAGAAATGATGAATAAGGAAAGAACTGATACCGAGAGCATGAGTGGTTAGGGATGGTGGGACAGCAGTTGCTCCATATATTGAATATAATCTCAAAGTTAAATTTACTCCATGTGAATATTTTTCTTACTTCAGTGTCCAAAGCCAGTAATCTCCAAAGAGAACTTGAATGGGGGTTTCACTATAATAAATAAACACGTCAGCAGAGAAGTAAAGAATTTGGCAATGTTACTACACAGAGCATTTATAAGAATATGAGAGAGTTTAAGCCATAAAAAAAGAATGGTAGTAAACTGTGTATTAACGTGTTTCTCATGTTTCTCAAAGCAAAGTTGTCAACAAAATACAACAGTGAAATGTGGTTGTACTCTTCATGTGATGGGGGCACGTGGTAGCGTAGTGGTTGAGGCACTATACTACAAACTGGAAGGTCGCGGGTTCAAGTTCCAATGAGGTCATTGGATTTTTTTCAATTGACCTAATCCTTGGAGCCACACTATGGCCCTGGGGTCGACTCAGTCTCTAACAGAAATGAGTACCAGGAATTAATTAAAGAATTTTCCTGGGTTGCAAAGCATGGCCAGCGCGTAAAGCTGACAACCATACCGCCATCTTTGAGCTGATTGTCTAGATAATGTGGGACCCTCAATGTCTCACAACCCTATGGGCCTTCACGGCCTGTTACAGGGATAGCTTTACTTTTTACTTTTTACTTTATACTGTTCATGTGATAGAACTATATCTGTAGCATTAAAGGAAAGCAGTTATTTGGAAATTATGTTGGAATTGTAACATGTAACAAAAATAAAAAATATTCTAATGTATCTTAGAAAATGGGTAGTAACGGATTAAATCATCATAAAATTCCTAGCAGAAGACTATAGAGAAGGTGTACAAAATCTACACTCATACATACAAGGGGTGTTATTGTAGGTTTCCCATTCTTGGAGAAAGCATATGCACTGTAGTGCATTATACTTCCATAATCATATGGCACACCAAAGTTAGTAACAGTTGCTTCATTGTACTTTCTGAAGTTATGTTCTTTTCCTGTTGGAACAAAAAGAAAAATTAATTCATGTTAATGAATTTTTGATGTATGAATTTATATTTCTTCTAGGAAGTATCTGCAAATTAAGGTCAGTTTCGCCCAAGTTACACACTCGTTAAATTACAAATACATTTGAGGTACTGTGTAGTTTAATTTTTAAGGTTTGTAGATAAATACAAGAAACTGATGTTTATGAAGTGCACTATAGCAAGTACCTTCCGGATTTAATCTGCTTTTAATTTCATATAATTATGATTAAATTTGCTATTGTTATTGAAAACTACTTATATTTTTGCCGCATTTTCAGATTATACTGTGTATAATAGCAGTCAAATGTTTGAGAATACATGTAGAAGCTTTTAGACATTAAAATTATGTAAAAGGAAAATCATACAAAGAACTATATCACTTAGCTACATAAATATAAGTTCATAAATCTTGATTCTGTATATAGATGGAAGCACTAAAATGGGAATAAGTATTCTTTCTCTTTGTTGATTATTTATTGATTCTGTGGGGCTCTTGTCAATGTGTGTAGTCTTGTCATTACTCCTATGACAACCCACTTCTTCGGAACAGTTTGTTGGCCCTGAAAAGGACCGTGGTGGCTGAGATGCTTGACCGGTGAGGTAGGGCGGCGCGCGCCGGTAAGGAGAAAGGCTAGTTATGGTGAATTGCTGTTGAAAAGGCTAGTCGTTGAGCGCGGTCGTAGGAGCCATGAGGCAGTGGCTACGCCAGATGCCCAGTGAGTCAGACCATAACATGACCACCGGCGAGTCCAGGCGCGGTGCCCCAGTGAGTTGGGTGTGAGAGCGCCGGAGGGCCGAGGCGGTCGTGCCTGGCGCAGCCTGCTGATACCTCCGAAGACCGAGCGCTGGAGACGAAGCCTGCTGGCTGAAGTTGCTTGCTGTGTGGCTATATCGTAGACTGCAGTCGAACTGAATGACTCGGCGAGGGCGAGGGCGAGGGCGAGGG